ATCTTGGCTCACTGCAACCTCCACCTCCTGGGTTCAAGTGATTCTCCTGCCTCAGCCTCCTGACTAGCTGGGACTACAGGTTTCAGCCACCACACCTGGCTAATTTTTTTTGTATTTTTAGTAGAGACAGGGTATCACTATGTTGGCCACGGATTCCTTTTTGAGTGCAGACTAGAAGCTTGATTTTGGCATTTTACCTGGCATCTACATCATGTTCACCCGTGTATTGGATCTGAAAACTGGGACATTCTACAGTTTGTGGAACTCCTGTAAATTTTCCTGCAATTGATTTACTCCCACACTGCCCACACCCACCCCCTGTACACCACAGGTTCAAGTATTTGACTCTTCCCACCCCACCCACCCTTGCCACCAGCTGCTTTCCACCCTCCCACTCACTCTCAGGGCCCCTGAGGCCCCCAGGGAGTCACCACCACACACCACTGTCTATATCTGGGGGAAGGTCTGGGTTGTTGGAAACTTTAATCAAGCAAGGACCGTTAACAGCTGCAGAGGCACCTTAGGAAACAGTGAGCCTCAAGAAGGAAATACTTGTAGGATCTCTTGTGATGACCTTTGAAGACTTTTCTGAAAATGACCCGTCATTCCCTGCCATGGAAAATAACAGTGATCGCAGGCAGCCTTCAGCCCACAGAAGGCTTCCTCCTCCAGGCAGGCTCTGACATAGCTGCTCACCTCACAGATGCCCTAACAGACTGCAAAGTCCTGGGAACATGCGTGTCCATGCACGCACATGCACACATGTGCCTCTCCACAGGTACATTTTTGAAGTGACAGCTTTGCCTCAGTGGCCACTTCCTCTAGGGGTGGCTGGGCGGAGCTACTGGCAGAGCTCTAGGTGTGTGTCCTGCCACACACCACCAATCATCCAAGCTGTTGGCATGCGGTGAGGACCTTTTTCCCCTTCCTTTTTCCTCCCCACAGCTGTAGGAGAGGGGGTTTCTGCGGGGCGGATGTCACTTTACTAGGGGCTGGTTCTTCCCACCCCCACACTACATCTTGTTCCAGCTCCTTCCTATCCTGGATGTAGGCCATTTTGGGGTTCCTATTAGGGGTCACATCCTGGTAAAAGAACATTAGGGAGTGCCTTTGGGCACCCCTGCTCAGCTGCCCCCTTCTCCCCCAACTGGTTCCCTGTCTCCTCCATCAGCCAGGCCCCCAACACCTATGAAGGCCTGGCAGTCCCTGGGTCCTCCACCACAAATGCCCCCTTTTTCCTTGGGGCTGTGTGTGCAGGGACAGCTTTGGGACTTTTTAAAGGAAGAACTTTGCTGTGAAAATAAGAGAAAAACCAAAACCAAACCAAGAAAATGTCAAAACCTCTGCTGGTCCAGAATCTGTGCTTGGCCTCTGGCTCTGCTCCTGCCTTGCCTCTGCCTAGGAAGCTGCAGTCCTTCTTAAGCCCTCTGCAACTCCCGTGCTTACCTGCTCCCTGGCTCCCCATGAGGATGCATGGGGGGCAGTGCTGCCGCATGCCTTTCCAGAGGTGCTGCAGCCATGGCTGTTCCTTACCTTCACCCCTGGCCCGGACCTGTTCCTGAACGCCCAGTTACTGGAAACCCCAGGATGATGAGGAGTGAGGGATGCAAACCAGGAACCCCCAGTCTCATGGGGAGAATGGAGCCTCACCCTGGAGCTGGGGAGATCATCTGAGTCAGTGCAGCTGCAGCTACACATCATAAGCCCCAGTGGACAAGGCAGCCAGGAGGAGGGTGGGGCAGATCAGGGCAGATAACCAGGAGGACCGAGTTTGGGGTCCAGTATGGCCCACATGGGTCTAAGATGCATGGAGAGGAAGCACAGGGAGGACATGGGGACAGGCCCAGTCCCTACCCCTGTGCTCTGGACCTCAGCGTCCCCTCCGTGGCCCCTCTGGCCCTGGCCCAGGGATGCCTTCTGCTTCATTGAGCCCATCTGTTTGAGACTTGCTAACACCTTCCTCTTTTGTGACTGGAAGTCACAGGGCCAGGTGATAAACCGTGCAGTCACAGAGGGAACACAGAGCCTAGTTGTAAAGGGACAGAGAAAAGAGGAGCAAGGGAGGACGGTGGATGACAGGGAAGACGAGTTGGGGCAGAGCTGCTCGGGACCATGGCTGAGGCCATCACCTATGCAGATCTGAGGTTTGTGAAGGCACCCCTGAAGAAGAGCATCTCCAGCCGGTTAGGACAGGGTAAGGGGGATGAGGCCTCCCCTTGGTCCTGCATCCCCACTCCCCACCCCACAGATCCTATTCCCGACTCCCACCTTGGTCCCTCTTGTCTTCTCTCCAGACCCAGGGGCTGATGACGATGGGGAACTCACCTATGAGAATGTTCAAGTGCCCCCAGTCCCAGGGGGACCCTCAAGCTTGGCTTCTTCTGGACTAGGCGACAAAGCAGGTCTGGAGAGCCTGGGGGATGTGTGTTTGTTGAGGGGCTGTGTCTTGAGCTAGGGGGTCCACAATGTTTTTGTTGTTGTTGAGACAGGGTCTTGCTCTGTCACGCAGGCTGGAGTGCAGTGGCGTGATCATGGCTTATTGCAGCCTCGAGCTCCTGGGCTCAAGTGATCCTCCTGCCCTGGCCTCCCAAAGTGTTGGGATTGCAGGCGTGCACCCCCACGCCATGGCCCACAATATTCTTGAGAGCACAATACCCTGGGGAAAGGAGGAGGGCGGTTCTTAGGAAACGGAAGAATAGGAACAGGATAAATGGGAGCCAGGGGAGGAAGAAAGATTCCTCTGGCAAGGTGGAGACCCCAGTGAGGGAGATAAGGGCTGCGGAGGGATAGGGCAGCCCTGTGGGGGATGAGTTCTAATGGGAAATGGGGAGCCATGGGAGGGAAAAGGGGGGATGGGAGTTGGATGAGAGCAAAGGGGGAGAGGGTTTGGGGCCGACAGATAAGGGGCCCCTGAGGAAGCGATAAAGGAAGAACTACGAGAGATGAGGGGGTCCGGGAAAAGATACGGTGAGACCCAGGAGGGAGCCGAGAGAGTCCCAGGCAGAGGAGGAACTCAGTAGAGTGACAGGGTGTACCAGAGCAACCCTAGCGGGCAACGTGGGGCAGACTGGAGTTTCCCAGTGGCGAGGGCGAAGCAGGTGCACCGGAGGAGAAGGGGCAATACTCAGGGCTTCCCGTCTCAAACTGAATGCTCCCCTCGACAGCGGTCAAGTCGGAGCAGTCAACTGCGTCCTGGAGCGCCGTGACGTCACTAGCCGTCGGGCGGATTCTCCCCTGTGAGTGTGCGGTGCGGCCGCGGGGGCACGTGCTCGCGCCTGTCCCG